TTCTGCATTCCTTATCCTAATGGGATTGGATTTCTTTTAAAGATAATTCTCTCCCTGAGCTACTTACCCCTTGCAAAAGTTGCTTCTGAGATAATTACGACACACTGCTGATGTTCGCACTGTGCCACTTACAGTAACAATGGAGTAATGCTGAAAGTATTTGCTGTGGAATTGCTCTACTTGCTTAATTTTTCAAGCATATTCTAGATCTGCTACCCTTACATCCCATGCGGCCATTAGAGAATCAGTATCACATCAGGATACCCACCAAGTAGGCACCACTACTGCCCCTGAGCTAGCACCAAGCCTTGTCTATGCATCAGTGAAAGCTACCTCCACGTTTAGAGCCGACAGAATTTCATGGACATTCGTTCTTTACCAAATACACAAGAGACCAACACAAATATAAAAGTAGGTGCTTGTATGAGAGTTGGTTTCACAGCTAATTGTTCAGTCATATATTATCAATTTCTAGCAAAAAATTCATGTCTTGCCTGCAAGAAAAATGACCAGGTAGCATTCTACCATTGTCATGCACACTGGCTGTATCAGACCTAGGAAATTTGACAACTGCAACATGCTTACATTTTGCCTTTGCAAGCAAAGAGCAGTGCTTTTGGAACTCACAGTATGGATTTCTTTCCATGACATAATGACTCTGGGGAAAAATCCTCTACAGCTAAAGGAGAAACCCAAACTTTCTCAACCAAGCACTGTTGCATGGCAAATCAACCCTAAATAGAATTTTCACCAGGAGGAAATTGCAACCCATTTCTATCTATTTGCCTTTCAAATTCTTCCAAATTACAACTCCCTGAACATTAAAACAAGCTTGACTCAGGAAGAGATTCATTCTTAACCTGCTGACTGCCATTCACACATGCACACTCTGGATTTGTTCTCTGTGATCCAAAACAACAGCTGACGCACCTCATCCTTCTCTTGAAGAGAACTGACGTTAGGCACAAGGAGATAAGCCTGTTAAAGCCATGCATGGCTATCCTACAGCTGGCCTCTTCTTATACCAACCAAAGTCAGGTTGATGTCCAGAGCATTGGAGCCATTAGTGCTGCTGTCCAGGCTGCAAAGCAGGTGCCAATGCCAGCTCTAGGAAAGGGAATATCTGCTCTTGGCAAAGACACACTGCATGAAAAGGCTAAAGGAGGAGACAATTAGCAAGCTATCAAGATGCCTACTAGGTAAATGAAAACACAGGTAGTAGCTTCTTTTATGGTGCTTAATCACCTTTATCATGGTTCAGTAAAGCTGTATTCACAGTTGACAGGAGTCTTAAGGAGCGTACAGAGGGAAGAGGAAAGAAGTAGTGTACTTAATTTTGTTGAGTTCTATGACAAGTGACCTTTCCCCAGTTCTCAGGAAAAAATGGGTATGGTCCACCTTTGCTCCATAGGGTTACTTTGAAAAACATTGGTGAGTTTTGGCCTCTTTCCAGTGTGTGTTTCACTGAGCACAGAAAGGATAGTATTTGAGTCACCAAGTCCCACACTTGGAGGTTAGAAAGGATGATCAGCCAGGTCATCTGTGTAGACAAAACGCAGCCTTCCTTGTATGTCTGCATCATGAGCTAGCCTCTAATTACTACATTTTCCACAGGCAATTACCTCACTCACTGTGGAGGTTAGACCAAGCTGCAGGGTCAGTTGGGGAGGGGACATGTCTCAGCGCTCTGTAAGGAAGGAGCTGTTTGCCATAGCAAGTCTTGCTCATTCAGCAACATAATTCAAAAGAAAAGTCATGATCAAAGCAGTGCCCTACAGTAAGAAGAAAGGTGATGGAGTAGTCAGAGGGAGACTGGTAAAAACCTGTCTCCTACTCCAGATTCTTCCTAATGATGCTGGCAAGTCTCTAGCATGAAGATTTTGGCATATAGCAGTTCCTCACATTCCTCAATCTCTGGCTGTCCAGTGCAGCACACACAGGGCTTCACTCCAGCAGTCCTATGCAGTTCCAGTGCAGTGGAAATCAGGGAACTCTCCTGGCTCTATCTGTTCAGGCATGTGTTGAGTGGTATGAACACAAGGGCCTTCATGGCCATAATGTCCTTCATGTTCTTCCTGGCTCTGCCCTGACCCAGTTTGTGGTGTTCAGAAAGCTGCTCTAAGTGGCTGCTCAGCCCTTCTGTATGTAAGATACTCAATTTCTTTACCAGGTCAAGGAGGGGCAGGGGAGAGAGGGATTTATCAGTTTAGGTCCTTCAAATTCTTGTAAAATGTTAAGGAGCTTGATTTTTCACACTTTCTCCATCTCCACTAGGGACACAAATGGCACTTAATTACACGATGGCCTCAGCCTTCTTATATCACAAATACCCACTTCTACCATGCAGGGTAACTGTGAAGATAAATCTTGAAGTACGTCTCATATACCAATATTCCAGAGAACATCTGGACAAGACTAGGAAAGAAGCCAGTGAAGGAGGAGAATGAAAGAATATGTTGACCAATTATGTCAGATCTTCATCCTCACCCATTCCATGCATTTTGCCTGCCTTTTTCACTATGGAAAAAAAGAAAAACAACAAGTCAGAGATTAGGAAACTAAAAATTGCACCATAACACATGTTCACAATGGGGCTGGAGAAAAGCACCACTGTCAACCTTGGAATTCCTACCTTCACTTTGCAAACAAAATAGCTTTTCAGAATGCATGGATACATTTTAATGCAGGTTTCCGGAGGGAGGAAGTGTAGGAACAGAGATATTAACATACTTGCATGTGAGTAAGAACAAAGATATTGCAACAAATTCACTTAACATTTGTTTGAAGCCTCAATATTTTCTGATCTCATGGTATTATAATATGTTAATTTTATTAAGCTACATTGCTCTTTGGCATTATCAAGACAGTTTTATTTGCTAGCTATTATTTATGAAATACAATGTATTATGTCAAATTCAGTATCTAAAATATCATTTAAAATACAAAAGTTTTTCCAGGACAAATACTGCAAAATCTCATTGTCTATGTGCATGTCTGTCAATGTCTCTCTCACAACTCTGGAGTCCATTCTCCAATTTCAATCAGACTTGACTGTAGGGTCAGTCCAACAATTCATTTGAGATTCAGTCCCCAATCATAGGCTTCCAGTTTTTCTGATTCTTTCATGCTCTGAAGGGTAATATTCTCTCCTTCCAAAATGCTGAAAAAACAAGAGTTCTTGGCTATTTCTTCCTACCCATCCACAGACCAGCAGCAGACTCTTCCCCAGTCATCACCGACTAAGAGTTTGGAGGAATTTCTTGAGAAAGAATGAGAAAGAGAAAAATGTTTAAGAACAAGACACAAATAGGATCAAGGCTTTCTCCTGTATGCGTAGCAATTGGGAGGATGCAACATTCAGGGGATTAGGTTATCTTTCATGTTAAATTTGAAGAACGACGATATAGACAAAGATTTGTACTTCCAAGATTGAACTTAGAATTAGATACAAACTTTCCTGGAGTTCAGTGGGTTAGTTGTGGACAATCTAGCCAGATCAGAAGCTCTTACGCTTCTCTGAGACTCTGTGAATGCTAAATAATCTGCTGATCAGATTCAGACTTGTTAGCATATAACGTCATGGCTGCAGCCACTGATACCACTGCTGCATGTGGTGCCACCAACACTAATGAAAACAACCCTCCCTCCCAACTTTCCCACTTTCAATGCATATAAACATCACAGTCACTAAGTGCTCTGAATCTGAGCATGCAGAATATAGGAATTATTTTAGCAACTATCAAAGCGCCAACACTTTTGGAGAGAAAGACAGCATCTGTTTTACACTACATCATAATATCCTGGGGTAGTAGATGACAACAAATATTACAGCCAGATGAAACTGCAGGAGGGGGATTGAGTCAACTAAAATATTGCTGGCTGTGCAAACTGGAGTTTAAAACCAAAGTTGTCCTTTGGCCAGCAACTTCCTGTTTACATTGCATCTCCAGCAGCTCCTAGGATAATGGTTTTTCTGTAGCGCAGAGACAGTGTAGTAGCCACTGATCTCTACAACAGCCGAAAGCTGCTCTTTCTCATGAGTTGTCTCCTGCCTGTCCACTAATATCCCAACATCCTTCACTCAATGCAGGTAGGCAGGCCAGCTCCCAGAGTGACTGCATTTGGCTAAGACAGAGCAATTTGACTGAGATTTTTTTAAAAACGAGCAACAACTCCTCCAGCAAGAACAAAGCCCCAAACACAAAACCCCAGTAGTAATACAAACTCCGGAATCAAACAAAAGCACCTGCTGGAGCAGGGTAGAGCAGTAGAGACCCCCAGGCTGCTGCCGTGCCCGCTGCCAGGCACCAGCCGCAGCGCACGGGCAAGGACCATACCTGGAAACAGCCAGGGCCGTCACCGCTGGGCTGGTCTTACTCGGTTTTCCAGTCAAGGCAAGGCTGGGATTCAGTTCCCGACAGAGAACAAGATGTTTTCCACACTTGTTACCTGTTGTGCGATTTAAAAGTAAATCTTTAGACACTGTCTAGGGGCAGCATGGATGGGATTGTTATTATTTACAGTCAGCAAGTTAAGTTGAGAATAAATATATTTAATCTCAGCCTGTGCTGTTGCAAAACGGGCCCATCCCAATTTAATTTGTGGCTATGATAGTTACATGTGCTGACGTGCGGCTGTATCAATTGTGTACTAAATTGGATTTGTGTATTATTGCTTTCTAAATTGCATGCCTAGTTCAGCAAAATTGTTCATCAGTTTTCACTGGCTCTATGCTTAATAAGATGCCCCACAATACCTTGCTGCCAGGATATAATACAGCCCATAATTGCCTAGTAAAAAGAAATTACATAAAGTCCTGGTATTATCAACTTACCTAAATCTGCTCATAACAGAACCAATAATTAAATGCTGAGAACATTTCACATACACACACGCATACATACACACACCTAACAACATAACTCAATCACTGTTACTTTGGTCTTTTTAATGACTGTGTTTTGTATTAATTTTATTTTCTTTAATGCATAGAACGAGATATGGGAATATTTGGCCATGTAAAATAATTCTGAAGTCATCTGAATAGTTTAAGGGAGCATGTGATTGCTTTGGTTACACCTCTCAACTCTTTATTAAAGAACTCTGTTGCTGTATGCATCTGAGAACATGCGTCCTTATATTCATCTGTGAACAGCTGTGTGTGTCTACACATCACCAGATGCCCGGTCAATCCTTGTCTTCTTTTATGATACTCTCTGAAAAAGGCACAAACAGGAGTATTCTGCTGTGCTCCCATGGGCAGCTTTTAAGTCCTAGTTTGGAGAACTGTTTAAGATATAAATTTTAAAAATAGCTAAAATCTTAGTTAGCTCAAAGACATTCCTATGCAATTGTACCTCAGTAAATAGGACATGGAAATAAATGCCACAGGAAGTTATGGACAAGAATTTAGGAAAATCTTAAAACAAATAGGACATTTGTACATGTAAACAGAATCTGCAAAATGACTACATAGTACTACAAAGTTTTTGGGAGAAATGTTAAGTCTTTTGTTTTGATTTACAGCAATCTGATTAGAGACCATAATGAAACCAAAGATGTAGCTACCATAGCCAGACTATTTCATATCTGGCATCTCTGGTGTTCCTGCACCTTCCCCAGAGGCACCTGGCTCTAGCTACTCTCAGAGACATGATAAAAGGTAGGATGGGCATCTGGCTTGGCATTTCCAATATGCCTCTGTATGTAAAAATATTTTCACATAGCAATGTAAGTAATGTAGACGCCAAGTTACATGAACAGCACTTCTGAAGATCTCACTGGTAATGCCCAATTACTGTATAATATCTTTTTATGCAGATGTTACATATATAGCTCTATATTTATGCAAATTGTGTGCCTAAAATTGAAGTAATAGAGAATGTCTGTAATGAAAATCACAGCAAATAAGCGGTGTAAATTATACATACTAACACCATAATTTCTTTCTCTTATAAAATGTGCTGCAAAGAAAAGCAAGCTGTACTATTTAGGATGCGCCTTTAAAGCTCCCTGGCAGGTTTGAGCTCCTGTATTTTTAGAACAGAGAAATGTGTTTGAGCTGTTTTTAATGCCAGACAGCACTGTAGCCCCACCATCTTTTTAATCTCAGTTCTGCAAAAACTCCAGGGTATCAGCTTGCAGCTTCATCCAGGCAGGACGTACCCTTGAGACTGGTGGCTTAGGGGTGGTCTGTGTACCTAAGGTAGGGCAGTGGCTGCCTACTACTACTGCTGCTGGTTACAGAAACACTGCACCAGCTACCTTCACCATCTCCCCTTCATACCACTGTGCTCACACACCCTCTTCTTCCTCACAACGAAACAAGGTCTGCAGCACACAGTCATACAGCAGTCCACAGCCCACTTTGTGGTCATACCTGTGTTGCCTGGCTCTTCCATTGTACCTCTTGGCAGCCTCAGTCCAGCAGCTTGGTCTGGGGTGTTGGTGTATTCGGTCTTCCACAGCTGTGCCAGTAAGGAGGTAAAAATGGAAAAAGCATGGATTATAACAATGCTATGAGAGAGATGTGGCTGCCTGCTTCCCAACAAGGGGTGGAAATTGAACTTTTAACATCAAAACAGGATTTCGCAGTTGCCTCTCCCTCTGCCACTGTGCTGCAGGGCATCACACCGGAGAAACACATGCAGGGAGCTGGTGACGTTGTGAGGCTGACACACTAACGAGAAGCCCAGTAACCCAGGAAGCTCCCTCACCAGACTGGAGGCAGAACTAGCAGTGAATTCCTGCTCCTGAGAAAGTATGACTTAATAAACTGAGCTGTGAATCAACTCTCAGAAACCAGACTCAAACATATTTCCAACGGGCAATATAATTTTTGCTTTGAAAACCATACCAGAACGAAAAGCACATTTTCAAAACTCTTCCTGAATGACAAACACTCCTCCATTCAGGAGGACAAAAGTTGATAGGAAGCAAACATTTTACTCTGATTTTCAGCTTCTGCCCCATGCTGCCCTGTGCAGAAAGGGGCATGGACTTTTAGTAGCTCTGACCCTCCATGTAGGATGCAAAAATCTGCCTCTGATTTACAATGAATTAGGATTCCCTTTTCTCTCCCCTATCCACCTACCCTCACCACTCCATCTGTGCTTCCTGTGATGATGATGCTGCGTGTGTCCCAGTCCATCACTTCAGCAAAGCAGCAGCAAAGAATATGGCTGTTGGGGCTGCAGGTGGTGTTAATGCTTGCAAGAAGTTGACCATTGACTGTCCACAGATACAGGCGAGATCCAGCACAAGAGATAATATCACCCTGTAACAAAGCACGAAGCAATGCTTCAAAATCCTACACTCATCCTCCTCACAACTCTCAAGTGCTGATTATGAATTATAGAGTTGCTCTGACTTCAGTTTTGACCTTTGTTTTGCTTCTGGGCAGATGATGTAAACCAGAGAAAGTAAAAATGACTTTTTTTTTTTTCCCCCGCATGAAAAATTCTAACATTTTTACATCTTAGAAACCCAAAACAACTGTCTCTGATTTAGCAAGATAATGCAGAAACAAAGGTTTTTTTTTCATTTTTTAAAAGAAAACATTTCTTGAAATGTTCCCATTCTATTTTCCAGAAAAAAACCCCAGGCTTTTGGTAAAAAAGTAAACTGATAGACCAACCTAGCTACTGTCAGAGACAAGAACAGTGCACAGGCAATGCCTAGCTCAGGTTCTGGGCCAGGATTAATGCTCTTTTAGGTTTTACAAATAAGCACTTCCTTAAACAAGGACATGGTGTTCACCTGCTCAGCTGCGAAGCCTTTGGTGATTTCACAATCCTCCTCTGCCCCTCACAGGGAGCTTAATGTCATCGCATTTTTAGACTCTGTTTTGCATTTGACCAGTGACCAGCTCAGCATTCAGTGAGCTGCACTTCTGATGCAGAAAACATCCTTTTTTGCAGCTCTCCTCTCCATGCAGGCGCATAGTCTTACCACAAACCGCATGTAAGCAGCAAATATACAGGTAATCCTTAGGGGCAAGACATATACAGGTAATCCTTAGGGGCAAGACACATACAGAACCAAGAACCAATGCTGCAGATTTAAATGATCTTACCAAAAGTGCATTTTGATCAAGTTGCTAATTGATTCTACCTAACCTTTCCACCCTTGATGCATACTAAGAACCAGCTAAACAGAACATGATCAGAAAAGTCATCTGATTCTGGCAAAGGCCAGTGTGTCCTTAAATTAGCAGCATACATCTGGTTTAAATCAACTACTACCGTACTTCACCTCTGCCTGATTTGGGGCCAGGGCTCTTCACACTGCAGGGCAGAATTCTGAAGATAAGGATAGCCCATTCAAAACTGTTGCCAATAATTAAAGAGATTAAATTTCAGCTACCTTATCTGCATGAGAGTACATAATGTCCAAGCATTTGGTAATGACCTACAGTGTTTTTCAGGTCTAGACCAGGGATTTAAAACTAATTGAAATCATTAGCTACAGCAAGCTTTTACAATCCTCCTTAGCTTATAAACTTTTTGGAACAGTCTTTTTATTTTGTGTCTACACAATACAAACACCATGACGTTTTGATCTATAAATGAAGCTTCTAGATGCTCAAGCAAATATAAGTACCAACAATCACATAACAAAGAGCTGTATAGGGTTCTTATTTCACAGAAAAGTATGTGCTTCACAAAGTTGTTTCCTTCAAAACTTTGCTTCAAAACATTCTGAATTTTCCAGGAAAAAAAACTTGTTACCAAACATGTAATTTTGTGTAAATCAGAATATTTAATTTAGCACAATGGAAACATTTTTTTTCTACCTTCATGTTATAATATATAAATATATATCTAATACTTAAACAAAACCACATTTCAGAACTAAACATCCTGTTCTGCTAATGGCAAAAATAATTTTTTCATCTACAGCATATGGACATCTTCATATTTTTTTTCCTCAAAGTTTCAGCCATACTTTCCTAAGGTTTTTCCTTTTTTAAATGAACCTTTCTGCAGACTATTGCCCAATCAGTTTAATCATTCGCAGTCCAAGAAACTAGAAGGCTGCTCTTGGATCAATCACCAGACTGTTCCTGGCACAGATCATCCCATTTTTGGACAGCTCTGTAAGAGGAGCTACCAACTAAAAAGACTCCTGTCAGTGGTGGGCTGGTACAAGAAAGGAGAGGACTCAATCCCCCTTGGGGTCTCAAGCCCATGCTCTGTGTCAGCCCACCCACTCATTTCTGAGTGTTTGGCACTGCTTCAGCTGACTGCATAAGGGACCACCAGAGTATTCTAAACTGACTTGCTGAAGCCACTGGTCATTTTACACTAACCAGGACCCCTGGGGCTGGGAGCTGAGCTGGCACTGAACAGACTACTTAATGCTCACTCTCAATTACTAACCATCAGACTGCATGTTAAGAAGGCTTTGATAGAAGATGACTGTTTTGGTTCAGACTAAGTAGAGAATCTGCCTGGTTTCTTACTGCTATGAACTCAATTTTGCCTCTCTTCGTTCGAGCTGCAGTACTGGATCCACTCTCAAATTGTATGAGCCGCTGGAACCCTGCTCTAGTATATTAACAGAGACAGAAAATACAAATGTGCAAGCAACATTTTTGGGACTAAAAAGGTTGGAAAAAATCTCACCCAAAGTGTTTTCAGTAAAATCCAATACAGAACCTTTCCTATCAACATGCATACAATTCTGGCCAGGCACAGATCACAACAGACTTGCAGCCAGTGCTATCAAGAGTCGACCTCCCTGCACTTGAGAGTAGAAGCGAAAGCAAAAAGTCAACATTGTCATCGCAAAGGTGTAAGGTAGTTGTCAGCTGAGGTGGCAAACTGAGGTCTAACATGTCTCAGCTGACATGGCTCTGTTGCATGAATGTCAGGAGAAATTAATGAAATAATGGAAGCAGTAAGGTTATGAGTGAGCCAAATCCAGGAGCTACTAGGGTAATACTTCATGCTTTGTAAACTAAAAGTTGTTTAATCCTGCTACCTACCCATCCAAAGATGCTTCTACTTAGCTACTCAGTCTAAGATGCTGCTTTTAGTGCTCACCTCTCATCATTAAGAGCACTATTAGCAATGTCTGTAAAAGACAAAAAAATCAATGTATCAGACTCTCAGGATGTTTTTATGTTGGGAAAAGCACCCATTAAATTATCATGAAATGTTCATGGATGCATCAGAAGAAAGATGATAAATGAAGATCTTACTGTTGAATTGTTGATGGCAACAGAACAGAGGCTGGCCCTGTGGGCAGGAAGCTGGTTTATGTACGTCAGCTGGTTCAGGTCCCAAATGATGCAGGTTCTGTCATCGGATCCGCTCACAAAGATGCTGTAGGTCACAGATGCAGCAAGGCAGGTCACTGCCTGAGTGTGCCCATACAAAGCCTGGTGGGGAAAAAGCAACCAATTAACCACAGCAGAGGGTGGCTGATTTACTAGGAAATCAGTCCTACTGTCACTTGCTTAGTAAGAGAAGGGCATGAGGGGGAATATCAAAAGATCTTATAGAAGCATTCTTGTCCTCAACTCACGGTTGAGGAAAGTTGAGGCTCCAAGAGATTATATGACTTGTCCCAAGTTGCACAGTAACTCATGGCCCTTGGTGTACATTTCAGACTCTACAACAATGCTCTGTGCTCAGCAACAAAACATCATTTTCTCATTTCAATCCACATAGTTTTAAGTAATATTCATGCTTGGAAATCACTATTTCTCAATATTTAAAAAACATTTTTGAAATAAAACTTATCAGGATATATTTCAGTGACCTTGTCAGTCTTATCTGTCTATTTTTCTGAACAAGTACTAATATTTTACCAATTTTAGTTAAGAAGAAAAACAGCATTTGGGGAGTATTTTTGCTTTAAAGCCATATAGGAATTTCTTTCTCTCATCATTACTGTTTTGTTGTTTCATAGGTTCCAGAAACATAAGGAGTGCCCAGTTTAATGACTACACTTTAGGCAATTGAATAGAACAGATAGAAGTCATGGACTGAAGTATGCTGACAATTGTTTAATGCAGCATTCTCAAATGACAGCAGTGTACATTTCTGCTGCATAACCACCAATGACAACTGTAGCGCAACAGATAAAAAGTCCTTCATAGCTTTCCTAAAAGGCCTTTCAGGGCTCAATTTTTAGCTGCATTACTGTGAAAAAATCAGACCCACCAGTTTTAATGTTGGTTTTAACAGTAAATGCATAGTCCCTGCTGGCTTTCTCTACATGACATAATTAGCACATCTTCAGGGTCTGTCTCAGTTAAGCATGGAGCAAGAGAACCACATGTCCTGGATGATTTTTGCAAAAACATCTCATACTTTTTTCCAGTGTGTGACTGTTAGACTGAACTCTTGCTGGCTAACACGTGCTGCTGCTTGCCAAGGTTACTAGGACAACAGTATTCAAACATTGCTCCGCTGGTGAAGAAGCTGAGCTGCAGCGTGCTATGTACTACTGAAGGTGACGTGCAACTGTGAGGGATGAATTTCAGCTTGTGATTTATTCCATTCACAAGAACTGTCAGCAAAGAATTCTAGCACAAAATGGGGTCTCCAACAGTGATTTTCAGAGGTAAGAAACACTCTCAACAGAGCATAGGAGGCTCAGCAATAGCTTTGGATTGGCTGTAGAACAGTCTCTTTACAAAGGTCTGGGCATAACCCAATGCCTGTGCTCAAGAACTGCACAAGACCTCTTCAGAAAGGGCTGAAACAAGACAGGTTCAAGGGCTCCAAATTTCCCTTGCTTCCTCCAGATCATGAAGGAAAACGTACCCACTATGACAGCATCCAAACTGCCAAGTAAAGCTAAGCCAAGTTCCTTCACAAGTTTTATTAAAATCCTTTTTTCTTTTTTTATAACCCAGAAAGATCCTACTTGGCAGTGAAGTGTTTTCAATACAAGCTGAATGTGGAAGAGAGGGCTAGACCTGAGGCCAGTTATAATCCCAGCTTCAATACACCAGTGTCTCAATGCATATTCATGCAAAAACAGTCGCATGCTTTTAACCTTCTGCTGCCTTCTTATCGTTCTGCAAAGACTGATAGGTTTTCCCTTAATTTCCCTTAATAAGCTTTCCCTTAAGCTTAATGAAAGAACTGTGAGGCCTATCTCCAGACTAAATTCACAAAGACCAAAAGACAAAAAAGAGGACCAGCTTCACTGCAGGAA